AGATACTTTAACTGGATATTGGGCACTCCTCCAATGAAAGATGGCTTATTTCTCTGGGAGCTAGTGTCTTAATGTGAAGTGGTAAATGGCAAAAGAAAGGAGACTAGGAAAGTCCTGTACATGAGTTGACACATGTGCGGCTGTCCATATAAAGCAGCATCAAAAATGCATTGGCAGGATGAGGACATCAAAATTGGCACTGTTATGATTGAAATCCATACTGGGCCAACAGTGTCAGAAATAGGTGGACGGTCACATATCCATACAATTCCTCTAGTTGCTTTGGTAGGGATAGTTCATACTTTACCACTCATACGGCCCATGCTCATGGCTCTTCCTGGTATAGAACTCAACAATGTCTACCTTGTGAGAGGAAAAGTTTGCCACCGCTCTGCCTCCAAGGATGCGTGTCGCAGTTCACAAGTTCCACTGGAACGCCGTGATTGTAGTATTCCCCGATGGTAAGATGGCATCAGGTGACATTGAGTGTGACGTCAATGCATTTTACTAGGAAGTAGCGTAGTCCAGACGAAGCTAGCAGTAGCTCCTAGCAGGAGCTCAGCCCTGACACTCAGACAAGCTTTTTTGGGTTTTTTCTTTTATTGGATACCAGTCTCATGTCTATGGACCTTCTTAGCTGACCAATCTTGAGAAAAATATGGACCAGTTTAAAAGAGTGAAATTATTATTATTATTCCCCAGGAGATTATCTAATTCCAAGAATGTCTGAGAACATAAGCCACATTTTCATTTCTGACCATCTTTGTGGGTCTATGGCCAGTTCTATACTTTAACCGCTTACTGACCAGCCACAGTAGATATACTGCGGCAGGGCGGCTCCGCTGTGCAAAATCACGTATATATACGTGATTTTTCAGTTCAGGTAGGGGGCGTGAGCGAGGTGCGTGACCGCCCTACCCGTGTTGCCAATCGTGGCTGCAGGTGTCAGTCACCGGGTCCCGGCCGGTGATTACCCACCGGAGCCCAGCGATTACCGGCAAATATTGACAGGGAGCACGACTGCATTGTTTACGATGCAGCTCTCCTCCCTGTCAGTTTGAGCACACTGATCTGGATCGCTGAGCTCAGCCTTTTGGATCAGTGTGCTTACAGTGAAGCACACACCCCCTGCCCCCTATAAAACACTCCCCTCATACAGGTAACCCTTTGATTGCCTCCAAATGTTAACCTATTCCTCCCCAGTGCCATTAGTACAGTTTCAGTGTTTTTTTCTTGCACTGATCACTGTATTGGTGTCACTGGGGATGTCAGTGACCCCAAGTCAGTCCCCCCCCCCCCCGTGTCAGAATGTCTGCCACAGTCCCGCAGTCCTGCTATAAGTTGCTGATCTCTGCCATAAGTTGCTGATCGCACCATTATTAGTATAAAAAAAAATCCAGTATCTATACCGCCATTTGTAGACGCTATAATTTTCACGTCATCCAATTAATTTACACGTATTGGGATATGTTTTTAGCAGACATGGCGCATGATACATTTTTGCCTAAATTTATGATGAAATTAGATTTTTTAATTTTTTTACTGGACTTGTTTTATAGCAAAAAGTCCAAAAATATAGTTATTTTTTCTGAAAATTGTTGGTCTTTTTTTTTTTTTATATAGCGCTAAAAATAAAAAAGGAACAGCTGATCAAATACCATTCGAAAGAAAGCTCAATTCATGGGGAAAAAAGGACGTCATTTTTGTTTTGGTGCAGCGTTGCATGACCGTGCAATTATCAGTTAAAGTAACGCAGTGCCATAACACAAACTGCTACTGTAACTGCTTCCTGACCGCCCTATAGCAGAAATACTGCTATATATATATATATATATATATATATATATACGTGATTTGTGCTCCCATGGTTTTCACGCCCCTCCCAGATAGCATCAGATTGCCCGTCAGTACACCAGTAATCACATTTAACCCCTTGATTGCCATGAACATGCTCATACACAATAAACCTCCATTGCTAGTATAGTGTCTGGACTGATCAATAATTTTGATCAGATCAGCACTATACCAATGTGTTCATATTAGTATAGTATCCCCAAAAACACAGCGTTAGCAGGATCAGCCCCCGCACCTGCCAGCACCTGCGTTTTGCCCCTACGCTTACCCCCCCTTCTTCCAAAGCAAGTACAGTGTCAGTAGGTCACTGTCACTTGATACATTGCACACAAAACTGCAGTGGTCGCAGAATTAGGCCTGATCTCTGTTAGCACTTGCCGGTAAAATTTGGTGACTCTCATATGCAGCAGAGTGCAGTACTAGTGCCGCGCTACCATTTGGTGAACTAGCAAGCACCAGTGGCCTAGTACATCCTGGTCTTTCACATACCAGTACTGCAGTATCACTTGGGGATGTGTCAAGTCCCATAAATGCAGTACAAGCTGGTGCGGTGGCAAGCACAAGTACTGTCCCACAACCACCAAGAATTCTCACTCAGGCCCATAGTGCCCCTACTTTCTTTCCGGATGTGCTTGCAAATCACGATTGGCAGCCCACAAATTCTGCAGCACCCGTACTTCCCCCATTCGCTGCCCAACCCGGAAGTCAGGTGGAAACAGCTAATTTAACTACTCCCCTTGATTTTTTTGGAGCTGTTCTTCAAGGAATATCTGTATGCATTGATTGTGGATCAAAGCAATTTATATGCACAACAATTTATCGCCACCAACCCAAATTCAAACCCATTACGGTTTCCGAATTTAAATTTTTTTGGGGCCTAACCCTCAACATGGGCATTACTAAAAAAAATTAATTGCAGTTGTATTGGTCCACAGACCCGATTCTTCACATGCCCGTGTTCTCTGCTGCCATGGCCAGGCATAGATATGAGAGTATAATGTGTTTTATGCATTTCAACAACAATACACTCTGTCATCCTCGAGGTGACCCTGAATTTGACCGGCTCCACAAAGTTCGGCCCAAGTTTGTTCAAGATGTATAAGACCTGTGTGAGAGTAACAGACTATATATATAAGTTTCGGATTTACAAGGGAAAAGATAATCATGTGGAGCCCCCCGGATGCCCAGACGACATGGGGAGTAGTGGCAAGAAAGTTTGGGACTTGGTGTCATATTTTTTCCATATGGGGTACCACTTATACGTGAACAATTTTTATTCAAGCGTGCCACTATTTAGACATTTGTACAATCTTGGAACTGGTGCATGTGGCACCGTGCAACCTACAGTGTGCCCACCATTAGAAGTGGGTGGATGCGGTGGGAATACCACACACTTCTGACAGAGATTTCTTCTCTTATTTTCATTCAGTCCACAGGCTGCATACAAAATAAAAAAAGAACACAGCATATATACCCAACAAGGACCAGCGACGTACTGGTACATCACTGGACTTTGAATGGCTATACCAGGATCATCCTGGTATAATTTTTTCAGCAATCGGCTTTCATGTAAAAGCAATCCTAGCGGCTAATTAGCTGCAGGATTGCTTTTTAAAGCAGTGGGAGATGATGCACCCCTCCCCAGCTGCCTTCTTAGGCAGTCCCAAGTTTTTGGAAAATGACAAAAGTTTTTTTTTTTTACACAAAATTGTCACTTAAATGATTTATTGCTCACACATGCCATGGGTGTATGTGGAATTACTCCCCTAAATACATTCTGCTACTTCTCCGGAGTATGAGGGTACAATGTGTGAGAGACATTTTGGCAGTCTAGACAAGTACAGGACTCCAAAAATCCAATAAGCACCGTCAGGCTTTTAAAGAGCTTTATTTCCTCATTACACTACCTATCACAGTTTCGGAGGCCCTAAAATGCCAGGATAGCACCAAGCCCCCCAAAATTACCCCTTTTTGGAAAGTAGACACCCCATAGAATTTGATAAGAAGCATGGTGAGTATTTTGTAGATTTCGTTTGTTGCCACAAGTTTTTGGAAAATGGCGAAAAAAAACAAAAACATATTTTTTCTTTTCTTTTTTATATTTCAAAACCTTGTGAGAAAAAATGAGATCTTCCATGGACTCAATAAGCCTTTCAGCAGATAGTTTAGGGTGTCTACTTTCTGAAAAGGGGTAATTTGGAGGTGTTTGTACTATCCTGGTATTTTAGCACCTCAAGAAATGTGTTGGGCAGTCAGAAAGTAAAAGCTGTGTAAATTCCATTATCTATACCATAGTTTGTAGACACTATAACTTTCACACAAAGCAATCAATATACACTTACTGGGATTTTTTTAACCAAAAACATGTAGCAGAAAACATTTTGGACTAAATTTATGACGAAAATTTTTCTTTTTTTGGATATTTTTTATGACAGAAATGAAAAAATATAGTTTTTTGCCGAAATTTTTTTTTTTCAAAACTCTCTTTGTTTATAGCTCCAAAAATAAAAAGCGCACAGGTGATCAAATACCACCAAAAGAAAGCTTTATTTGTGTGAAAAAAGGACATAAATTTAATTTAATTTATGTACCATATTGCATGACCGTGCAATTGTCAGTTTAACTAGTGCAGCGCTGTATAGCAAAAAATGGCATAAAGTGCAGTATCTATACCATAGTTTGTAGACGCTATAACTTTCACACAAAGCAATCAATATACACCTATCTGGATTTTTTTTTTACCAAAAACATGTAGCAGAATACATTTTGGCCTAAATTTATAACTAACTTTGAGTTTACTATATATTTTTTATAGCCGAAAGTCAAAAATATTGTTTTTCTTCAAAATTTTGGGTCTTTTTTTATGTATAGTGCGAAAAATAAAAAGTGCACAGGTGATAAAATACCACTGAAAGAAAGCTCTATTTGTGTAAAAAAAAGGACGTAAATTTTGTTTGGGTACAGCATTGAATGATCGCGCAATTATCAGTTGAATTAGTGCAGCGCTGAGTAGCAAAAAGAGGCCTGGTAATTAAGGGGGGTAAATCCTCTGGAGGGCAAGTGGTTAACCGCTTCTCGCCCGTCATATAGTAAAATGATGAATGCAAGGTGGTTCTCTCGTTCTCGTCATATGACGTCCTCCCTCGGACACAGCGGATCACCGATCAATGGAAAGAGCCGAAGATGTCGGCTCGGTCATGTGATCAGCTGTGTCCAATCACAGCTGATCACATGTAAACAGGGAAATGCCGGTTATCAGCATTTCTCTCCCCACGAGCTGTCATGCTGACAGCTCGTGAGGAAAGGAGAGCCGATAATCGGCATTCCTCGGAGGGGACATGTACACAGATCATCAGAGCACTGATGATCAGTGTGCCCTGATCATCTGTGTAGCCCCAGTAGTGCCACCTGTCAGTGTCCATCAGTGCCAGCTGTCAGTGCTCATCCACACCACCTGCCAGTGCCCATCAGTGCCACATCAGTGCCCATCAGTGCCACATCAATGCCACATATCAGTGCCCATCTGAGCTGCCTTTCAGTGTCACCCATCAGTGCCAGTCAGTGCCACCTATCAATGCCAGTCAGTGCCACCTATCAGTGCTGCCGATCAGTGCCAGTCAGTGCCACTTATCAGTGCCATTCAGTGCCGCCTATCAGTGTGCATCAGTGCCGCCTATCAGTGCCACCTAACAGTGCCAGTCAGTGCTGCCTGTCAGTGCCGCCTATCAGTGCCAAATATAAGTGCTGCCTTTCAGTGCCCATCAGTGATGCCTGTCAATGCCCATCAGTGCCACCTACCAATGCCTCCTCATCAATGCCCATCAGTGCAACCTATCAGTGTCCATCAGTGCAGCCTATCAGTGCCCATCAGTGCAGCCTCATTAGCGCACATCAGTGAAGGAGAAAAATCACTTATTTATAACATTTTATAACAAAAACTAAGAAAAAAAAATATTTTTTCAAAATTTTCAGTGGTTTTTGGTTTGTTTAAGAAAAAATAAAAAACCCAGAGGTGATTAAATACCACCAAAATAAAGTTCTATCTGTCACAAAAAAATTATGAAAATTTCATACGGGTACAGTGTTGTATGACCACACAATTGTCATTCAAAGTGCAACAGCGCTGAAAGCTGGAATTTGGCCTGGGCAGGAAGGGGGTATAAGTGCCCTGTAGGCTAGTGGCTAAAGGAAACCTGTGCTGAACCACAGGCTGTTGTTGCTGACTTATTTGTGAAAATGTTATTTGCCTGACTGTTATACTGGCCCTCTGACTTCAGTGCTGTCTGAGTGAGTGAATGCAAATCAAAAAACTTGGAGTAAAGGCAACACTCCTTATCTGCAAACTTGTCCTATGTCTTTGACTCAGGGATTTGAAACAAGACAACTGGCATGACAGCCAGATATCCATACTGAGGGGACAACAATGGAAGACTTCATGTTTCTCTCACAACATGCTTACTGTAATCAAACATAATCTGTAGCATTTATTTCAAGAAATGATAAGAGATCATAATTTGTTCCATTAGTAATGTTTTGTTTAAATGTGTTTCACCCTCTTGAGAAAGTAGTAATGACTGTACTAAGATACCTGAGTAAAATAAATTGTTATTCCATTTTCATTTCTTTGGCTCACTTTTCTAGTTGTGCTTGCCATGCAAACAACAGCTTTAAAAATTGCTGCTACACTGGATGATTTTAGTCACCTAAGCAATTCATTCAGGTGGATTCAAATTGAGTCAAATTTACAATATGGGCATAATAAATATTGATTCAATAATCAATCCGTTATTTGGTTCTGTCCTTGCTGATTGGAGAGCACAGTCATTATATAAGGCAAATTAAGATGAACAGAACAGGTACTTCCCTCTGAATTTATGGATTATCTTGTGTATATTGCCGACTAGAGAAGCGTAAATAATGAACCAAGTTTAATGAGGAAAAACTATAAATAACGTCCAAAACAATTACTATATATATAGTGATCCTTCTTGGAAAAGGTTACAGATTATTCTATTGTATATTATTATACTCTAGTTGTCATTATTTTTCATGTAAGCGTGACAGGAAATTTCATAAAATACAAAATATAGCTGGCAACCCCCAACAAATCAGTTAATAAAAAGTTAATTCCATTATGACTCTTTCCTGCTACCTGACAGGTAATACCACTATTTAATGTGAGAGCTGAAGCTAGCAGATATCCTTATATAGTGTGCTCACTTGTGTTTATAAGCCGGTTGATAGAAAAAAATGTTTTAATAACATTCATGGATGAACACTTTTAAGAGCTGTGAGCTTATCAAAGATAGACAGCGCCAAATTTCAATATACTATTCAAACAAGAATATGTGGATTCCTGTAGCTGGAATGATAGGTGTGTCAGAGGAACTATGGTCACAGACAGTGCATGCAGTGCAACGATAGGCTGATGGCATCCTGATGTGTAAACAGCTGGAAACAGTCTCATTAGCCTGTCGTTGCATTGTATGGGCTCAGTGGCTACAGCTCTTCCCACACACCTGTCATTCCAGACCCTTTTTTTTCTTTCCAGATGCAATATGCCTGTTCAATCCATAAGAATCATGGCCTGTCAAGGTCAAGGCTTGATATCTGTAGTAATAAACTATTATTGTTTTTTCCTCTTCATTATCTGAATCAAGACACACTTTTTATTTGTGGATTCAATATGCCCACCAGTCACTCAGAAATTTTCAATTGATACAGGCTTAAAGCAGTATCACTAAAAACTCCAAAACACTCCAGTGCTAAGACTAAGGTACTTCCAATGGGGTATCCATAATGTTTCTACAGGTGCAACCCTCCACAGATTGGCGAATCTTCAAACAAGTGCAAAAAACACACACAGGAGGGTGCGAACTCCTCATGCATTACCACCATACAAGGTGAAAATAAAAGAAAGGAAGAACGACTAGAAAAGAAAACCAATGCAGCCATTATATCTAAGAATTGGTAAAGTGCAATATAATAAATGTTTGCTTTGCATTTAATACCATTTTAATATGTGTGATGCTATACTGTAAAGAGACCTTGTCAGTCTCTAAATCAAGGCATTATTTTTTTATTTACAGTTGAACTATGTCTGCTCATTCACTCTGAAGTTGCAGCTTGTGCATGCAGGTGTAATAATACAAATTTGTTACATTTTTCCAGCCTCCTAAAATATATATATTAAAGTATAACTAAAGGCAATTTTTTTTTAGGATAGGATGGAAACACATGTTATGTTTCTATTGCTGTCTGTGCACATGTTAGAGAGATTTGCACTCTCTATTTGTCCTGTTTACTGTTGTCACCAAAAGTGAAAATGAAAAAGAATTCCAACTTTTAAGTTGTCACCAGAACAGAAACAGAGGGGAAATCTTCCAATGGAGACACAAGTTCTGATGACCTGGTTCACAACCAGGGATTCTCTCACTAGAGGGATTTCCTCTTACTTCCTATTTTGGTTATGGGGAGAGAAGTGAAGGGTAATCTCCCCTTTGGGACACAAGTGGCAAAAAAAGAAACTTGCTGGAGTTATAATCTCCCTTATTCAGTCAAAAATGAAAAAAAAAATTGCCTTTGGTTTAAAAAAGATAGTTGAAAATATGTACTTTTTTTGGTCTTTGGTCAGAAAAACACACTGCCATTTGTTTATCTAGGTGCAATTTGTATGCTTTCTCCATCTGTCATTCCATCTCAACTAAAAATGAGTACATACTGCCCAACAAATCAGTTGTTTTTATTGTGTGTGTAGCTCTGGAAAATTATTCTGTAATTTAGTTACATATAACACCTGCCAATTCTGTGTTCCGCTTTGGCCTTGTAAAACACTTACATGGTGTGCAGTGTGTCTGTAAAATATTTCTAGCTGTTGACTGTGACAATATGAACAGCATTTTTATTTTCAGAAGGCATTTTTATTTTTTAACATATCCCTCATTTGAAATATCATACTCTGTTATTTCATGACAAGATTGACGCATCTCTCCTACATTGCTGTCCTGAGTGCCATTCAAATTGCTTACATATTCTCCAGCAACTGTGTGATATGTTTGGCTGTTGTTTTTGAAAAGTGGCACCTGTCATTATTTACTTCATCTTAACACATTGAAGTGGTTTTGGATTGAGATTGAGATGCTTTGAGTCATTTCGGGTTGATATTTTGTCGGTATTGTGTGGTATTATATTGAAAAGAAGATAACAAGCTATGTGTCCTTGTTACACAGTGGTACATCATTCTGTGAATGCACAACTGCTACATGAATGCTATGTGACTTGTTTTAACACCATCATTCATGCAGTAGTGGTGCATTCACAGAACGACCACAGTCTTCAGTCATTCAGAATTGGCCAAGGTCATTCTGCTGGCTACACAATGAGCAGTGGTGGCAGTTAATAGAATCTATTTACAATGTATGTACAGTATATAAAAACATTAGCAGAAACACTACTTGTGTATGTTACGGGCAATCGATATAGCTTTGTGAAATATAGCATTGCATTTTATATAAATTCTTCTTCCCAGCCAGGCAGTGTTCACTTATGATAATCACCTATGATTTCTTCTGCTGTTGCTGTGAAATGGACATGCATATGCAGTGCATGGGCATAGAGAATAATGGCTGACTAGTCTCTAGTTTGTAAATAATATCTTTTCGATACTCCCTCACCTCCCACCAGTGCAAAACAAATACCAACAAATGTCCACATATAAGTCCAAAAATGAAAGTCCAAAAATACAGTGCTTTCCAATAAGTAGTGTTTTTCAAACGTTAAGGAACCCTCCACTTTGCTGAATTCCAATCCAGGACCTCAAAATCAGGATACCTCAAAAAAATATAAACTCAATATAGTGCATTATCATTACAACAAAAAGAAACATTCGTGAAAACTGAAAGTGATTCCTCCAAAACTCCCACCCGTGATAAAACAGCACTCCAAAAAAAGTGATAAGGTGCAGCACTCCACACCAGTGTTACCATCCAAATAAACTAAAAACCATTACCCTCTAATAAACATACATCCAAAATAAAATGGTGCCATCTCTCTTGTGGAATAAATACTATTACCCTCTTGCAATGCAGACCAAGCAGAATTCCTTCAAAGCAATCCAGAGTTTCCCCCTCTTCGGAAGCTTCTATTTGCTTCCAATCCACCTTCCCAGTTTCCTCAAAAGGGGCAGATAGTACACAACTCAGTGAAGTATATATAAAAGGATTTCACAATTTATTAGTATCTTACATAAAAAACGCCAGCGTCCATCCTCTCCCACAGTCCATGTATCTGAATTCCAGTGTTCAAGATGGCCGTGCCGCTACTTCCGGTTTGAAATCGTATAGTACGTCCTTACGTCCTTGACGCGTTTCGTCACTTTCCGACTTGTTCACCTGGTGAACAAGTCGGAAGTGACGAAACGCGTCAAGGACGTAAGGACGTACTATACGATTTCAAACCGGAAGTAGCGGCACGGCCATCTTGAACACTGGAATTTCAGATACATGGACTGTGGGAGAGGATGGACGCTGGCGTTTTTTTATGTAAGATACTAATAAATTGTGAAATCCTTTTATATATACTTCACTGAGTTGTGTACTATCTGCCCCTTTTGAGGAACTGGGAAGGTGGATTGGAAGCAAATAGAAGCTTCCGAAGAGGGGGAAACTCTGGATTGCTTTGAAGGAATTCTGCTTGGTC